GAGCACAAATCTGGTCTGAAAGCCATTGCGATGGCTGCACAGGCTGCCCGCGTGGCCCAGGCACAATTTGCCAGAAATAATTTTTTTTTTCTATAAAACACTATTCATAATCTGTACGAGGCAGCCTGGCTCCCTGGGCAGAGCCACTGCTGGCCCAGGGTGGCTCTGGTGGGCCAGGTGCAGGGATGCCAGAGCCACATCCCCCTCCAGCCCATCCCAGGCCCCTCTCAAGCCTCGACCTGTCCTCAGAGCCACGAGGAAGAGGCGCATGGGGAGGAAGAGGAGCCAGGGTGTGAGAGGGACTGAGGACTGCTGGGACACAGCAACTGGACCAGTGCTCCCCCAAGGGCTAGGGCAGCACAGAGACTGTCTGGGGTTGGAACGGAATAAATAAATTAACATGAAAAAAGCAAAAGGGTAAAACACTGCCGGGGAGGATGGGCAGGTAGCCCCTGCCGGCCCGCAGGAGGGGAACGAGGGCAGGGAGGTGACGAAGGCGAGGGAAGGTGCCGGCCCTGCCGAAGGCTCCGCGTCCTTCCGCATGCTGACGGCGTTCCTGGAAGCGGCTGCCCAGGGTCAGTTGTTGTTCATGATCCACCAGGATGCTGGGGGGAGAGAGGGGAAGGGGTCAGGGATGTGCAGTGTTAAACAGGGGAGGGGGATTAGGGGTGGCAGAGATGGGGGATCTGGCCCTGCTTGGGGGCAGCTGAGGCTTTTCTGCAGGTCTCTGGCACCCAACTCTAAAGCACCCACACCCCAGGGTGGGGAGCGCAGCCGTGGCAGGGCCTGGAGATGGGTGATCCACTGCAGCTGCAGTGATTTCTGCCGGGGAGCGCTGGCAATGCGGTCAGTGGGAGCAGCAGATCAGGAGGAGCACCACCAGCGTGGGATTTAGTCCAGGTTAAGCCGTGTTTCATGTTATTTTAGGCAAGACGTGAAAGTGATGGCAAACTGGGGCTTAAATTGGTCTTATCTGTCACCAAGCTCTCCCAGTTCCTCATGTCTTGGTCAGTTTTCTCGTGGTACCGGGGGAATGTGCATTTTCCCTGAGCTGGTCTCTCCCCTGCCTCAGCACCGCTGAGCTGTAGACCTGGACACAGCCACCGGGACTGACCCAGGGAGGCCAGTGCTTTGCAGAGCAGGTTCAGGTGGGAAAAAAAAAAAAAAAGAAAAGATGAGGCATCAGGTGTAGTTCAAGCCAGGGTTCAGCTTATCTGCTACCCGGGAAGTGCCCCCAGCTGCCTGGCTCTCAGCTGGAGAGCATCCCCCAGGCAGGGGAGAGGCCCCGCAGCACTGCCAGCACACACGACCGAAGCAGCCAGTGGAAATGGGTCTCACTCTGGTTTGAAAAAAACCCCACAATTTAGGTCACCCCCCACCCCAAGCCAATCTTCTGCTCTGGAGGGAGCCAAGGCACCTGCTCCCCACACAGCTCCTGCCCTCAGAACGCCCAGAACAGGAGCGTGGGACTGCGGGGGTCCCGCAGCCCCCCCCAAGCTGGCCCCACAGCCCCCCACCTCACCTGGGAAGAGCATGGTGGTCAGCAGCTCCGGGGACTCCAGCAGGCTGATGATGGAGCGCTGGAAAGTCTTGCTGCAGCTGGACTGCAAGTGGCTGTAAAACAGCGCGCGGGGTCAGGAGGGTGCAGGGCTTGTGCGAG